CATCCAACCAGAAAATGTAGCAGCAGATAAAGAGCATAATGGAATCATTATGTATTTACAGACAATGATTCCAAGAGCACAAGAATCTCACAGAGGAAATACGAAAGTAGTGAGCGCAGTGGGAACAGGTCCTATGCCAGGGGTGGGCAACTCCAGGCCTGGAGGGTCTCCTGCAACTTATAGGTGTGTCTCTACTTCAACACACCTGAGTCAAGTAATGAGGTTGTTAGCAGGACTCTGGAGAACCTGACTGCACTGAGGAGGAGATTCAGCTGTTGGATTCAAGGGTGTTGGACCAGGGAGACGTCTAGGAGCTGCAGGACACCGGCCCTCCAGGACCAGGATTGCCCACCCCTGTCCTATGCAGTGTCTTCAAAGAGAACATACCCCAGTGGTTAGGACAAGAGGAGAATCTTTTCTCATACATTCATGAGAGTTTCTGTAAGTCAATCACAACATGGTTTTCTATGTACTTGGATTCAACATTCAAGACTATTTTGACCAATATATCTGTGGAGGTTTTACTGTAAATTTTCAACAAGCAGTTAAGCCTGTCCCTCCAACAAAAACCAAAAGATATATGAAAGATGAAGCTGCCCCTAACTTTGGTATGGTAATGGATCCCATTTTACATACCCAGTGACTATTCTTTCACATTGTGAACACAAAGACACCAAACACAAATCCTTGGAGGATCCCAGCAATGATGGACATTGTGAAAATGACCCGAGCCTTAGATTTTAAGAAAAATGTTGTATATTATGAGAAGATTTCTCTGTAAGTTTGGCAAAAAAATAAAAAAAAACATTTACAGCCTCACCTGCACACTGTATTGTATACACACTGTATACAGTATAATAAGATCTTGCAGTACAAGACCTCCCAGTGCACAGAACACCGTGATATTACTCCTAAAGTCTATCTATTTAAACACTATCCAGTTCCTGTTTACAGTAAATAAATAAATCCTTGCTGTGTGTCTGGTGAGCTGGATGCATTGTCAACCACACACACAGAGACACACATATATTAGCCCTTCATTTTGATGTAATTGCATGATTTGCATTCAGATTATTTTGGTGATTTTTGAATGGATCTTTAAAAAAAAGAATAAAACTTTCATTCAATTTTTTAATTTCTTTTTTTTTTTTTTACATTCAGTTACAGGAGAGTAATCTGAATTTTAGATATGCACCGCTCTGTCACGGCCCGCTACTGTTGGCTTATGCCTTATTTATGAGTTACCTGTATTGCTCCAGGGCGGAGTAATTATAGTTGTTGATAGAGGAGAAAGGAGCATTATTCATTATTATCACTAACTCATTTCCCCGCGTACTACTGGTGTCATGGCTGGGAGGAGAGCCCTCAGCTTTGAGCGCTCTCAAAGCCTGGCTTCAGCACAGAGCTGAAAATGGATCGCTCATGCAGAAGGTTGTGAAGCGGCATGGAAGAAGAAGAAAAAAGAAAAAAAACATGAGGACGACTGGAATCGATTATTGCAGCAAAAGATTTTCCCACACCATCAGAGAATACAAAGTGGGGCTCACTGCGCTTCTGAGCAACGTCACGACTGTCTGGGGAGGAAACACAGCTAACCACAAATACTGTGGCTGCCATAAATGGACATCCTGATAAATATAAAGTAGATATTCAAATACTTTGAATAATTAATTGTACATACTGTACTGTTTGATAGCTAGGATCAATTGCAATGCATGTGACTGAATTGACATTATATTTTCATAAAGTGCCACGATGCGACATTCTTGTGAAATGGAGCTATATAAATGAAACAAATTGAATTGAATACATCATAAAAAATATTCCTTAATTAAACTAAGGTGTAATTAGAAGGAGGAAGGGAGAGAGGGACGAACAAAGAAATAAACAAACTTACACATATGGAGAGCAGAAGGGTCACGGCTAGCAGCGGAGTTGCCAGGTTGGGCCTGGAACCCGTTCCAAACTGCTTGACATTCTATTTTCTTTGGTGTATGTATACGTATCACTCTGTTCACTTTTCTTTTGATTACATATTTTCCCCAGCCCCTCTGTTCCAGTCCCCACTCAGCTGCACTATAATTTGTTGATCATCTCAACTTGTTTCCCAAGCCACAGATGATTTTCCTTATCTCTTATTTCTGTTAGATCCTCTCTGGTTCACTGTTACCTTTCTGGCAGAAGTCATACAGCTCTTTTTGTTCCTTTTTCATTTGGAAGAGCATTCTATGTAATAAATCTTCACCTTCGAGCAAAGACTACCACTTCCCAGTGTGTGCTTGGGTTCAATTCCACGATTGCAAATTTGAAACTTTTTAATATATTTTTGTTCAGTCAACAAAAAAAAAAAGTTGATTAGTTGAATTGTACAACTGAAAAGAAAAAAAGAGCAACAACAACCTGAATAAATATAATTTCAACCCAAACCTTAAAGTATTTTAGTTACCAAAACAGTACTTAGGTTATCTAGACCAGGGCTCACCAACTCCAGTCCTCCAGTCCTACCATCCTGTAACTTTTAGATGTGTCTCTGCTCAAACACACCTGGATCAAATAAACTGCTCGTTTCCAGCCTATTGAAGAGAGGAATGAATGCTGGTGAGGGAATTCAGACATTTTGGAGCAGAGGTGAATCTAAAAGTTGCAGGATGGTAGCCCTGGAGGACTGGAGTTGGTGAGCCCTGGTCTAGACCTTAACCGTTATTGAAGCTACATTTACAAACTGATATGTGGCAATTTTTCTTCAAATTCCAGATGCTGTATGAATGTGACTTTTAAAATGTAAGGTAGTGAAAGAATGTTTAATATATTGAGTTAACTCAAGTACATCTTATATAAAGAACTGAAAACTCTCCACTCACTCAACATAGAAACAATAAGCAATAGCATTGAACCCGCACTCAATTCCGCAAGACAGATAAAGACTTCTCAGATGAGTTACAGTATTTTTCTACCACACAGCTCACTATTACAAGATCTTTGTAGTCACTTCGAAGTACAAGTTGTCAATAAATTACAGTTTAAATGCACAGATGCTTTCTGAGAGCAGAAACAGAGCCTCGTTTTTGAAACCACAATCTGACAACAGCCGGCTTCTGCTGCTTTGTGCTTTCTCATTCAGCACTAGAAAGAAACTTTATTGATCATTTTGCTAGTGTAGGCAGCAGTGCAGTCAGCAAAAAAAAAAAAAGGTCAATGTGTATTTTTGAAAGTAGCTCTAATATATTTGCTATTCTCTTCCTAGTCACCAGACAGGGTTGGACTTTTCCCTCACCTTTGCTGACTGAGGTTTAATTCTCTCAAGTTGGGATTTTTTGTTTGAGAAAAATATTAACTTTACAGCTGGAATCATGAAATGGACACATCATTTAGATTTTTCATGACAAAATTCCAAACTTTACTTGCAGACTCAAATTTTCAGAGTACTCTGACATTTGTTTGCCAATTGTTAGTCTTAATAAAAGATGAATGAATGAATGAATGAATGAATGAATGAATGAATGAATAAATGAATGGTTTGATGGATGGATTGACAGGCTGCACCATAGCAGTAAATATTGCAATGATGATATCAGGTGAAGTATATTTTTCTTTCTTTCTTTATGTGCTTAAGTTTGTCCCAATATGTAAATAATCGCATGATAAATTAAAATGAGCTCAGTAATAATATTTTTTTTAAAGGGCAATATTGTGTAAATTTTTTTTTTTTACGGTTTTGGTTGTGTGTGGTTTTGATGCCTTTTCATTTCTTGTTTCTGGTTGTTGTTTTATATTGATAATCTACAATAACTTCCAGGTCCAGTGTTGATTGTTCTGTACAAAAGTAGTTTATTAGTCTTTGGGAGGGAAAACTTGCATTATTATGCCGTTACCATTACATTAGTTGAAAATGGTCACAAGATGACAATATTATCGTTTACTGCAAAATTTGTAATTGTGACACGCTTCCCACTCTGTGTGACTTTAGCATTTTTTAGTGACACCAGTTGTGTCTAGTTTGAGCTTTTGCTGCTGCGAGACTCTGTCCTACTGGCTAAATGTGCATCAGCATGTAAAAAAACAACTTCAGAAGTCTTACGTTTTCAACATTTGGATTACAATCCCCTGGAGGGCTGCCAGGGGGTGCTGTGGGATGGAAGATGAGAAAAAACATGCAAAAAAAAAAAAGAATCCCATAGTTTTTTTTATTCTTAAAATTTTCATCATCATTTCTGTTTTTCATTTGTCAATCATTTCATTTTCTAAAATATAAGTTAAAATAATTGATTTAAATGTTATTTCTGATTGGCTACCAGTCAAATTCCTCAAGCTGCTTTGCTCTACAAGCTAGCACAGCAAGCAAGAAATGGAAAAGTTTCTGACAAGAAAAAGACCAAAGGAATCATCCAGCATCCCTCTGCTGCAAAAAACCATAAGGACTTTGGGATGATTTTTTTTATATATTTATATATGATTAATGTAAAATATGACATCATTTCTCATCATCAAAAGTGTGTTGTGTTGAACAATAGTACTATCTGGTAATAAAGTCATAATATATTATCTGATAATAAAAGTTTCTGCCATAGAACTCATGACCATCTGAAGTCAGAATGTTGAATAAAAATCATTCTAGTTGGTGTTTCTTGAAATATTTTGTAGCCTTGTCTGTGGGTCCACAAAGGGGGTCCATGGCAAGAAGTTAATGATCTTTTGGGGGCCATGGCATGGAAAAGTTTGGGAACCCATGTATTGGTCAACATTTATTGCACTCCAAACACTCTGTTGTGATACAACTATTGTGCATGATGATATTTTGATGATGATTCATTCACAATACATGGTGCTGCCCAAATGGATGGAGAAATTAATAACTCAGATTATGGAAGAGAACATGGACCTAGAAAAGTTACATCTAATTCCAGACTTTTCTAAACTGTCTAGCAATCCACAGCTAAATGGTTTTATGTGTGAAGAAGACGGCAGAAAGTCTCATTCCGGTCCTCCCTCTTATCCCTTACCTTCTTCAGTTTGATAACTGCCTCTCTGGTCTCTGAGTTGGTGGACAGCTCAAACATGCTCATCCCATCTCCATCTATGAGGCGATAGTTCACAAGTCCGTTGTCTCCCATGTCAGGGTCTTTGGCCTTAAGACGGCCCACCTCCTCTCCTGCCACCTTGTCCTCTGACACAGACATGGTATACACACCTGGTGGGGTAAAGAAGAAGAAGAAAACAAAGAATCAGAAAATGTACTTGCCTATGAAGGCCAGCCGTGTTATCTCGTAGTCACGGCTTGTTTTGGTATTCAACACCTTTGGAGAATTCCTGGCCGGCTGTCAGCATGTTTACTGGCTGTGGCAGGGTCAGCTTTGGAGGGCAGCAAGGGATTAACACGAAATATACCATCTGCCTCATATGGCCCAAAGGATATTAATATCTCCTGTGGTGTCAGGTGTGTGTGTGTGTGTGTGTGTGTGTGTGTGTATGCGCGCATGGGTAAAGGCACAGACTCCTGATTTTCAGGATGCAAGCAGGAGGACCATATGCCTTCCTTTATCCTTCCTTATCTTCCATTTCTCATCTTCCCGTCCCGCCTCCTCCCTCTGCCCTACCCAGAGGTTTTCTTCCTTTCTTCCTCACATTTTTCCTCCACCTCTGTTCCTCCTTTTGTATAATAATTCCCTTTCTTTTCTCTGTGCCCATCATCCCTTTTCTGTTGTTTTTTTCTCCCTCATCTCCACCCACACCTGCCTTTCCGAGAGAACTTATCATTTTGACTTGTACATCATTAGCGTGTTTATCCCGCTTGCCCAGGTTGAGCAAATCATTTGAGTCATGAAATTTCCTTGGTCATGAGGCGACTAAGCGTGTGCATGCGGAAAAAAACAGAGTCATTCCCGGGCCTGGACCCATCCGGCTGGAATCCCCACCAGATACCCTCAAGCGCTTTACTTTTTCTTCGCCACATCTGCATCGATCCTCACCTAATCCCTCTTAACCTTTCATCTCCCTCCCTGTTCCTGCCGTTTAAACTTCCCTTCATGTTGATTGACTCTGTCCTGCTAATGTCCCCCACCACCCCCTTTCACCTCGTCTTCATCTCTCATTTGCCTTTGCCCTCTCTGGTCTCTCAAATCTTTTCAGTCATCCTCACCTCTCCTCCCCCTTTTGGCCTATTTCTCCTCTGCCTTCCTCTCCCCTCCTCACTTCTCTTCTGGGTAAAAGCTCATTTCATGCTTGCCCCCACCACCCTCCTCCTTCCTCGTCCTTGCCCTTTTCCTCTTGCTCTTCCCCTGTCATATCCTTGCTTGTCCTAAGTAGCTTAACTTCAGTGGCTTGTGGCAGTTGATTTAAACATTGTATGACAGAACACACAGCCGACTTGGCGTACCTGGCTACAGGCGAAAAGTGTAGCGCAGCGCATACAGTACCAACATTTACATCCAAATCCCACATTGGGAGAAATATGCTAAATTTTTTGGATGAATATTCATCGGGAAAAAGTGTGTGACTTTTTATGCAGTTCTCAAACTTTTTTCATAAGGATATGTGAGGCCAGCTGGCTGAAGTAAAGAAACATTTCTAATACTCTGAACTGCATTGTTGCAGAAATTTGATTTAATAGACTATAAATTGGTTTGCTTGTCTTCATATACAACTAGAATCATACATTTACATACACTGTATAAACACTTCCTGTTTTAGATCTGTTTGACTTAACAAAATTATATTTGTTAAATGCCAGAACAATGAATTAGAGAATTGTCTCTAAAAACCAGCCCCTTGTTCTTTGCTTCGTACAGAGGGTACCGACCCTCGCCTATTGAGAAACAATTGTTTGCTGGAGGGGTGTACTCTCTTGAACTTTTGAATGACTGGACCTGATTTTATTCAGTCACTAATGTTTGGGCGTGATTTATATAATGCATAAACTGGATTGTGAATGAAGTTATGCTATGAAGCTTACCGGAAAATACAGTAGGAATGGCACCACAAGATGTTTACCAGCAATAAAATGTCTTAAACATTCTCCTTGTTCTGGCTATAGCTGCTCAATAGTTGGAAGCGTGGCCAACACGGACCAAATGGCTTCATGCACTTCATCTGTTGCCATTGCCAAACTACAACTACAATTCTGAAACAGCACAGAAACTCAATGTCATTGTTCACAACTCCTCCTTCTGAACGCTGATTGTCCAGGATGAAAGTCATCTCGAGAAACGGAGCTCAATGAGAAACATCCCAGACAAAACACTGAGGGAAGATGAATATTGAACAGAATTATGTAGGAAGACGACGGCCAGGCAATGCATTTTGATAGAAATGCATATTAAACTATGTAACACGTCATCGATTTTGGTTATCCTTTCACATGCTTCTCACAGTAGTTTACTAGACTATTGTTTACCATGCCTCCAGACAGAACTAGTGTTTGTAAACCCAGCTTGAGTCTGGCCCTTGGTACTTTAACCGAAATGTTGAATCAGCTCTCCTTGACATGGTCACAAGACAAATACTGCACCATCTTGTTTGTAGGGAGGCATCCTCCACCACTTCTCAACACCAGGCATGGGTTGAACTATGCCACACAGAGCCCTATGTGATTGGTCAGACATTTGTGGACGTGTTTCATGCAGAAATGTGCTCAGACAGCAATGTTGGTATTCATTTCATCTATTTCTCTTTCACTATCTAGTTTTTGTATTTGCACACAACACAAATACTTTTGAGGAGTGTTTAACAAATGGTGAGAAATTACGTGGATTTGTACAATTCTTCTCAAAAGTACCTAAAAAGACTGTTCAATGGCTAAAAGCTCCTGGATGGAATGTGAAAAGTCATTGTCCACAAAGAAGGCCGTCTCCAGATGTGGAAGACATTGACTGCCTTGAACAGAGTCGTACCCTAACCAGACAGAGCACCTCTGGGATACAGTAAAGTAGAGATTGTGAAACAAAGCCTCATGTCCAACATCAATGTTGGATCTCACATACAGAATTGTCAAAAATTCCCATAATAAACTCCTAAATCTTGTGAAAAGCCTTCCCAGAAGAGTTGAATCTGTTATAGCTGCAAATAATAAGCCGACATCAACTTAAACCCTCTGGATTAAGAACGGGATGTCAGCAGGAGGCAATATGGTGTCAATTCAACACAAGGTAATAACGTATACAGAAAAATGTTCCAACAGTCATTATTTAGCTGTCAGTATTTTTGGTTTATCATTAAATTACCTTTATGAAATGTGTCTGACATTTTATTCCAAATATGGAAACATTTCAGTTTTTATGCACGAATGAAGACATGTTGTCCTTCCTGCTTTTTTTCTCTCTCTTTTGGGTCAAATCTGGCAGGAAAAGTTTCCATTAAAGCTCCAACATGTTTTTCATTTAAACAGTCCAGTCATGTTAGGGGATTTTTAATTGAATCATTCTGGTGGGTTTCATAAGAGAAGACAGCTCTGTAACAGCAATTTCAGAAGTCAGCGAAGGTAAATGAAACGCTCAAACAGAAGCCTGTAGACATCAATCAAAATATATTCTCTTCAAACAGCTTTTATGCCCTGCGTCGTTCCCCCGCTGTTTCTGTTGAAGCAGGAATTAGAGAGCACTGGCTTTACAGCGCGGTGGCACGCGTACATTAACAGTATTTAACAAAACCATCTTCGTCGTCGTAAGTCTAATAAAGACTGAAGTCACGGAGTCACAACACTTCTCATCTTTATTTTCCCCTCCTTGCTTCTAATAACCCCTGTCTGTGTCGTGATGAATTTTCTGGGGGGTGCCTGATAACGAGGTGAAAGGCAGAAAATTGTAGGACATGAGGGGTGTGTTAAAAACAGATGAAGCCTCAGAAAAGTGCCACAGCCTAATGGAAACGGGGGGAAAAAAAACACAGAACCACATAAGGAAGTCTAGCTTTTCATACAAAACCGCATATGTATTACTTTTTATCTCCCCTCATTCTTCCTCAGGGTTTGTTGCAACTTTATTAGTACCCCAGTGCTGGTGACAAGCTGAGCTGGAGGCGTGTGATGTTTTTTTGGCTGTCATTTCAGTGAATAAAGCACCCAGTGTGGCTTACTCAAAAGCACGATATCTAAATAACACCTTGGCATAACTCATCACTATAACTCAAACGCAGACGCATGATATGTCGGCAGGGAGTGTTAATTCTGGTTTTTGTCTTTTCTGTTTTTCTTCACGTCTCGCTTATCTCGTTTTTATCCTTTCGGTGCCCTCACTCAGTCAACCCCGCTGCTAAATAAGTAATCACTGTCCTCATTCTCACCATCTGGGAGACTGTTCTTGCAGGTGGTTGGGCTGCTTCGGCTTGTTTTTGAAGACGGGGGCCAATTTCTGCAGTTCTGTGTTGTTCTGTGTTGTTCTTTGTGTTGTCTCACATCCCAGATGCAAACTGCTAGAGATGCACTAAGTGCTGTCATAAGCAGAGGTACTTTTGCTAGAAATGTAAGTCAAAGACAATATTTAAGGGAAATTAAAGGTTGCTGTAGCTTATATATGCAATACAAATTTCTTCATTGGTTAGTATTTTGATGATGTCATGGTTAACACTATGAACATTTCTGCCACTGTCTTCAAAGACAAGTAGCTAGCTACCCCGAAGCTAGCTGTTTACAAACAAACATTTCTCTGTTGATAGGACATACAGACCTTCATTTCATGTGAAAATAGAACGCAAACCTTCTGCAAAGTCCTTTTAAGCCCTTCCCACTGCAGTACAGTGGATATTTGTGGGGCTTAGCGACCGCATGCTAGTGTCATCAGAATGGAAATTATTGACCTAATTTTAATTCTTAATGCAGCTGAGTATTTGATTAACTGGTCACAGTGACAGACAGACCATTCCAATTTGATAAAATAAAATAAGCAGTGTATGTTATTCATTGCAACTTCAAATTAAGCTAATCTCTGAAGAAGGAATCAGGGAAAACCAGCTGTATTGAAACATCCCATCTTTTAAACAAATCTGTAAAATATGTAATAGTCCTAATTTATACGACTGCTACAGAAATTAAACCAGAACCTTTTTTTTTTTTTTTTTTTAAAAAAAAGGGACAAAAATGGAAAAAAAGTATTTAACAGAGTTTTATCTTTAAAAGCCCTTCCCTTTTACAAACTGTCACACAGTTTAAAAAAGTAGGGATGTCAGTGTGGAAACTTCAAACACCTTAAATTCTGAAGATAGCCTGCTGAAAAATAAAAATGGATTCCGGTTGTCACGGCCCCGCAAAATCAGATTTTAGCTTCCCTTGGTAGGCCGGTGGAGGAACTGTCAGCTTGTTGAAGCACGAAGCAACCGGAGTGACGACTCTGACAGGCTCTTTTCCTCTCCTCTGCAGCCTACCTAGCTGCTTCCACCAGCGTCCCTCTCTCTTCTCGCTTGTTCAGCCTCTCCACAAGCTAAATCCTCATCGCTCCCTTCTCTCCCTTAATATACTCTGTCCATCCATTCCTGCAGCTAATTTCTGTCTGGAGTTCCTTGGTTTAGAGCTACGGAGGGAAAGAAGAAACGCGGAAAGAAGAGAAAATGGCAGTCATGCAGATGGCTAAAACCAGCCAAAGGGGGGAAAAAAGATGAAAAAACAGTGTTGAACAAAGACGAGGGAGTTGGATAAAAAACAGAGGATAGCAAAACAACTGACTGGAGCTGGAGTGTTCAAAAAAATATGTTTGTGAGTTCTACATGATTTCAATCATTTATTCATACTTCCAACACAGTTGCTGTGAGTAGAGGCTCATAGTGGAGGTGAAATGATGGCTAAACAGAGTGTGATATATGTGGATAGTACATAAAGTCAGTGAAGAAAAGAACTTACTCTGTGGGAACTTTGGAGGGTTGTCGTTAACATCTGTGAGGGTGATTTTGACCTCGGTGGTCCCTGACAGCCCCCCCATGTGGCCGCCCATATCTTTGGCCTGGATGACGACGTCGTATTCCTGCCGTGCCTCACGGTCCATGTTTGGCAAGGCAGTGCGGATTATACCTGCAAATGAAACAATGTGATAATAAAATTTGAAGGATTTACTGGACAGCATAGCTGACAGAAATAAAGAGCTTACAAACATGACAATAAAGATTTCATTAACTTTATGGAAAATGTTGACATCCAAGAGATTTGTAAAAAAAAAAAAATACAAATCTAGTATATTCCACCTATTTGTGGCTCTAACTCCAAAGTATTCACAGAAAATGGATCTATTCACAGATTCTGTAGACCATGTCTAAATATTTGAAAGAATTGTAGGTTAGGAAGCTAAGATACCTCGGGGCAATGCTACTTGATGTGCTAATGGTTGGTGTTTCCAAAGCAGCCAATCCAGAAGTGCCCTTTCTTTTCCTTGACACTGATTGGCTGTATCCTCGGAGCAGAGATAAGGAAGATGGTATGTTAGCTTCTAAGATGGTTTGCACTGTGAGATAATAATGTAAATTTACTGTTGGACCTACAAAAATTGGCAGTTTTAGTAGTTTTAAGTTTCTGCAGATTTCAGCTGTTTGTGGTTGTGATCCCAAACTCCAGCCATCACCGGTGGTCAACTGTATGTGTTACAGTCCTGGCTGAATTAAATGTAAAGAGAACCAAGCGTCTCGGGCACTGCTCCATCTACTTCCAAACTGCAAAGTAAATGTGCAAACATGAAAAACAATGGGTTGTAGGATTGATCCTTGAGATCCACCACAGGTTGTGAAATTGTAGAGGTTTGTAACTCATACTGACAGAAACACTTGTGGCGAAATACGAGTGCAGAATATCAAGCGCTGAGTCTTTAATTTTAGACCAGGATTGAAAAAGTTAAGATGTTTTTCAGTGTTGCAAGGATAACAAAAACTAAAGCACTCAGCAACAAGTGTCTATGAGCTTCCTTTTGACTACAAGGAAACCAAAAACCAGAATAAAAGTTTGTAGTTATAGATTTAATAATAAATAATATATAAATATAATAAACATTAGGATTGCAAAGATATATCTTTTTCCAGATTCCGAGATAGGGGGCTGGTTTGAGTTCTGTTGTTACCTCAGAACAGGAGTGCATGTTAGATTAACAGCTGGTCAAAAACAGTCTGCTTTAAACAGCCTGGCAGGCAGCTGGAGCCTGTAAGAGTACTAAAAATGTAAGATAAGGCCAACTGTGGAGATTAGTTCAGTTTTAAGTCATCTAAAGGGAATGTTATCTTGAGCACAGGAGGAGGAGGACATGAGGGGTGCTGCACGCCTTAATTCTGCTAAGGAGATTTTGTAAGAGAACTCACAAGGGTAATCTTTGAGAATCAAGGCTACAGTTTGCTTTGCTACATTATTATTTCTTCGCTGTTGCCATCTTTACAGTTTTTTCTTCATCCTCAACTGTTTCCTGGTAAGCTAACAAGCTTAATTTTAAGTAGGAGTGTGTGTTTGTCAGACTGCCTCAGAATACTTGGACTAAAGTAAAACTACCAGTAAATTTCACAAACTGACTTTGTCATAAATGACTATGAGAACATAATCATAACATTTTATTTGTTGATTTATATTTGGAAACAAAGGTGATTCAACAGCATGCAAACAACAAAAAATAACCTTGTATTTACTAAGTAGATTAAAGTCAGTATAGTATAGCGCTACAGAAGTAGCAGCATGAAGCAATAGGTTGTTTACCATACATCCATCCATAAAACCAATAATCTTTGATGAAGGCTGAGGTCTTATTTCTATTTTACATTTTTAATTGACTTTCTTACATATGCAACATTTTTGAAAAAGAAAAAATAAGTATCCATAGTATTCATATGCTTGCTTCATAGCGAAGATTTTAGCTAGACGGTGCTTAGCTGGCTGTAGTTGAGCTAGCTATAGCTTCTGACTGGAATCTGGTTCCACAGCTGAAACATCAACTAGCCCAGTGTGTTTATGTTTCTTTACAGTGAGTTTAGTGATATCTAAAATGTGTTTGGCCACTTTTATCACAACACGGCTTATAACACTTGACTGGAGATGATAATGGATAGTGGACACCGTCCATGGAGTTTGTAGCTGGGTGATTCTCTGAATTCGGTGCTTTTGGGGTCTATGTCACTTAAAAATATCCCACAAAAAAATTGTGTTTTTGAACACTGCATCTATTGAAGGACTCTTTGAACCTCCAAGAAAATATGTCTCCCCACCTTCTGCATGAAATCTCAAACATTAATACAAATTTCTTTGCTACTTATGTTGCTTTAAATTCAGCCCCATAACGGGACAATTTCATTCCTCTATAACTATATATCATAATTAAAATAATTCTTCCAGTTCCTTTGAGATCACCTGTCCCTTGATCAAAATAACTAATTGTAAGTATATTTTATTTGTTTCTGAATCACAATAATTAGACTGATCAGTAGAATATGGCAACTTGATGTAAAAGCGCTTCTCATAAATCATGAAAAAACACTTAAAAATAAAAATTAAATCAGGCTTTTTTATGTTTATGAATAATTCTTTACACTTTGCATATAGTCCAACAAATATTACTCTAATATTTGTTATTATAAAAAAAAAATTACAACAATGTATCGTGTTATGGGGTTGGACCCATTGTAAAAGTTGACCAGACTGTAACGGGGTTGAACACTCAGCCTGGCTTAACAACAGTCCAACGTTCAACCCTGTAACAAAACCACTGTTTTTGTAACAGGGTGGAAAAAGTTGCCATAAGTCTACATCAGCTAGGGTATGGAGCAACATATGATATGATGAAAACAAGAAATGAATATGTTTCAAAGACCATTCTTTACTTTTTCCCAAACAACAATAAATATCATTTACATGCATAACCGGGTTGAAAGGTTGAGCTTGACAATGGCGATATTTGGGTAAAAAATAACCAAATATAGGTAAGAAACTTTCCTAAAACTCGAATCTCTTTACAGTGTGAGCATGAAGAGACTTAAGTGATGTCACTTCCAGGGTGCAGAGGAAATTGGACTGAACCATTATTTATAAAATGGTTGGTTGGTGAAGACGAGGATGCAGGCAGACCCAGGATGTAAGTGAAAATGATGAATTTAATGGTAATTGCCAAGGTACAGGACAACGGAGAACATCACAAGGAACATCTGACGGTGGAACAGACGGCACAGAGAAACTGGCTACACACGACAAGGATCCGATGAAGAACACAGACAACAGGTGGGATGAGACACACCTGGGAACAATCAAGGGCTAACAGGACAACACAGACTCAGGGAAACAGGACTAAACACAGAAAATCTCAAAACAATAATACAGAAAAACACGGATCATGACACATTATAATTAGTTTGCTGTTTTGGGGTTGAACAAAACTTGAGGGACAGGATTAAAAAGTGCTATTTTATATATAATTAATGTATTTTTCTCATATTTCTTTCATTTAGGTTAAAGTATACCTAAAAATGTTTATAATGGTACAAATAACTTGCAGTTACTGGCTATTTTTATTTGTTTTATATTAATTGAAAAATTAACATTGGTCAGTGGGGACATGCTCATTTGGCTGACTTCTACACTTCAACAACCCATAAAATTTTTTAAAACATGATTTTTAAAATATATTTGCATGTTATATTACCAAGACACATGGATATTTACATTTCTTGATTTTCTCAAAAATTTTTGTTTGCATTCCATGAAAATCTTTGAGATAAACCTGTGGGACACAAAAGGCACCGAATTCGGAGAATCACCCAGCTAGCATAAAAAGGGAACAAACAGGTTCTGTGCTTTGGGATTTACTCAATGATTAGTTCAAGTCATCTACTCTGTGATGTTCAGTACTCCTTATGGCTTAATATGAGCAAATAAAAAGAAAATTACAAGATGAAAAACAAAGAGGAAAACATCACATTTAAAAAAAATTAAAATACACTTTGAAAAGAAAAGTAGTACACTTTTGTTCTCAATTCATAAATTTCTCTGCTGTGTCAGGTAAAATAAAACATAGGAGCCTGAAAGTCTCCATTAAATTAGCATAATTTATAAAAAGAGCAACTACTGCTTCATTCAGTTCACGTCTGATGCCAGAATTCCCAATACATATCCTGGTATGTGTATAATATGCAACAACAGACATTATTGATATGCAGAAAAGTTTAGCCACATACAAAACAACAGTTTAAAAAAAGAAGTGGTAAAATATTTTCTAAATTGAGAAATTTTGCAGATGTAAATATTTCCAGGTTTGGAAAACCCTAACGGCAAATTGTGAGCTTGGAATTTTCTAAATAAAACTGACAGATATTCTCACAATAAATCTGGCTCTGTTATATGTTAGATTGAGCTCAAGAGTATAACAAATAAACTAAAGAAAGTATGTTCACCATATGTTTATTTTATGGGATATAATTTTAATATAATCCTTCAAAAATGTTCTTTTAATTATTCCAGTGCTTAATCATCAAATAGAATTAGATATCCCATAGACTCACAATGTTTGCTACCATATATAATTGTTCTGCGCAAGTATTGTTTATATGCTCATAAAAACTAACAAGGTAATAATTTCTGCAAAAAACTAATTTAAAAAGCAAAAACAAAAACAAAACAAAAAAAACAGTTGCTAAGCGACTTTAATTTAAGATATTTAATTTGAAAGCGAACCCTTTTTCCTCCATCTGTTAGATAAATATGAACTTTCATGCAGCTTTTCCCATCCACTATTTTTAAGCTGCAGTAATCTTTTCTGTTCATTTTAATGATCCCCCGCCACTCTCTGTCCGTCTCGCTCTCTCTCTCCCCGCATGTCCAACTGCAGAGAGGCTCTCCGGTGTCATTTTACTCCAAATGTGTGCGTATGTGTGCGACAGCATGAAAAGCTGATAATCTCCAAACCAATTAGAAATGTGAGCTATGGATTTGAGCCAGTCAAATACCCAACACTGGTTTGATTAGCTAGATTTACTCCGCTCAAATCTCTCCGACTCTCTGTGCCCTAACCACTCTTTTTCCATGAGCTCACTCTCTCTAAACCAATTTCTCTTCTCTAACCTCTAGCTTTCGGTTTATTTTCTGGCTCTCTCTCTGACCTAACAGATCTCTGTGTCTGCCCTAACCTCTTGCCTTACAACCAATTTCTTCTTTTAATGCAAACTCAAATACTAGGCCCATGCTCTGCTGGGAACAGGCTTGAATGTCCTCTGGGACTTCTCTCTCTCTCTTTCTTTTTTGCAGTTCTGCCTTCCTCTCTAAAAACATGTAGGGTTATGCGATCCCTGAAGCGGTCACTCTGCAGCTTTGTACATGAAAAGTGGTAGAAAACGGAAATGTTACATCAGTATGTTGTGAGTGCGTTGCTGCGGATAGCATTAAGGCACGACTTTTTTTCATTGGACATCTTAGTGTGTGTGGAGTTTCTGTGTTCTCCTTCTACCTACAAGGTATTCTGTCTTCATGCATTTTGGGGTGAACTATGACCATGTAAAAGTTTTTCCATTCAACCAAAAAGTACGCTTCTGATACGGGTATCTGTCACAATGTGATAAAACAACGAAACACAAGAATCAATTAAAACAAAAATCTTTTTTTTAAATTTACATTTCCTTTAAAACGTCTTGTTAAAAATATGCCCTTATCAACAATAAATGGAAAGTCTCAATGCAATCACCCTAATCTTTTGTTCAATCCACAGGTTTTTATCAGTCTGCTTAAATTGTTGTGGCCCTCAGCCACCACCAGGAGGGTCCGCCGCTCAGGTAGAGCCCCACTTCCTTACTACAAGTTAGGGACTAATTTTGCAGAGCTCTGAGTGTTAACTCCAGCAGGACCACACTGGAGGATGAGTAACACTTTGGCTTTCAGTCTCACCTGTTTGAGGCTCCACAGAAAAGTACGGCTGTCCTTGCAGAATGCTGTACACCAGCCTGGCGCTGTTGCCATAGGTGGGGTCATCGGCGTCTGTAGCCGTCACCTGCATCACCGACGTACCTGTGAGATGGACACGCGGAGGCTTGTTCACTGATTTCGTTCAAGAGAAGCTCATCAATCAGCTTTAGCTCACCTAGCAGCACCAGCTGGACAAAACCGCTGCTCGCTGCTCTAACACTCGGACACACAGCAGCTCGGCTCCGCCTACGAGGCTGCTCTCCGCCATTATTTCTCTGCATTTCATCATTGTCGGGTGGAAATATTCCATCTCCGATGTCAGTGATTTTTATGTTTTTAATAAAACATTATGAGGGTGGACAGAATCCAACAGTCCCTGAGCTTCGTGAAAAACCTTTCATAACCCCTAGAAAACTTTGTAAAATGCAAAGATGTTGAGCTCAAACAGCCATTACTTTAGTGCCCAGAGAATTGGCTATTTTCAAAATGATGTGCTTCGCTTGCAGCAGATCCCTGCTAATTCACCATGACACAGTGAAGCTCTGCTTTCAGGCCAAGTGAATTAAAATGCCTCAAATGTTAAATAATTTGCATTATCTTTGTATAATTGCTGAAATGTTCTTTTAAAAAATAAAAAATTGGAACACAACTCTTGAAACACGACTCCAGACTAACTCTTTGAACTCACTGCATTGCTGTAACTTTCTATTTTATTTAAATCCACTGCCACTAAATTCAGATGCGCACAAATATTTCACCGCTCCTGTAAAAGTGACACTGTTGTCACATGACATGTTTGTATTATGATTATTATGCTGATATTTCTCATAATGTTAAATATTAACAACTTCATGCGTTGGTTTGGTAAAAATGTGCTGAAAATGTCCAAAAACGATTATTGTTAATGTCCAAAGGTTTCATTTTATTCAACATCATACAGTTGCTACCCAGCAAAAACACATTCTTTTTATTTATGCAGCACTGTGAAAAAATGAGACAAAATCAATTACTTGTATCAGCCTAGAGAGGATAGCAAGATCATTTCTACTGTGAATCAGTGGACAATCAGAACCATGAGAAACATATTGTTTGATTCTTCCAGTGCATTTTACATAATTTAGTCTGAATTACTCTCCAAGAAACTCCAGCAGACACCAGACAGGTGGAAGTGGAAGTTTGACTCCCTGATAAGCAGACCACAGATTGGGGCTAAAGGTTTTTGGTAAATGTGAGTGGAGGCAATAGGTGGAGGCTGAGGACTTTATTTGGGGGTAGCGGTTTTTCATTCTGGATGTTGTACAGAGAAAAACCTCATCAACTGTGTTTCCATCACAAATAAGTGCATATCTCACCCATTTGGGGGTCTCTGTTGGTATTCTGTTGAAAAAACACAATTTTACTATTTGCTACTGCTATGTTGTGAGAGCTCTGGTGGAGCCAGCAGCAAATTGTCCTTAAAAAATCAAAAACAAACCAACATCCTCCTGCCACTTCCCGATGTCGTCTTTGTTGTTTGTGCCAGTAGCAACCTCCGGCTGTTGATCACGTGACTTGTGAGATGGAAAAAAAAACTGTTTTGCAAAATACATCAACTTCAATGCGGCCAAAAAAACACCTCATCCTAGCGCACAAACTTTTGAGTGAAAAACTGGAGCTTCTTCAAATTTGGGTTGTTTCCATGAAGGAAATGTATTTTTGTCAATTCAATTTGTGTAACTGTATGGTGAAGAGACATGAAATGTGCAACCAAGAAAAAGCCTGATTACCATTATCAGATATTGTTGCTATGTGGGATATTGGCCTCACTCTGGATCCCTGAGAAACATTACCAACAAACAAAGCAACAGAACAGGAAGACATTCCAGGCTTGCTGTTTTTTTTAACCATCAAACCTTGCATTTCTCACTTCTCTGATGCCTTCTAAATCACTCACCAACATTGGACATCTCAGGCACCCTGGCGTAGTACGGTCCATGCAGGAACTCTGGCGGATTATCGTTGATATCCTGAACTTTCACTATGAACTCCGATGGAGGTTCCAGTGGCTCATTGGTGTCCCGGGCCACTGCCTGTGCTGTCAGGGTGTACTGGGCCTGCTCCTCGCGGTCCAGCGTTTTCGTGGCATGGATGTTGCCCGTCTTGTCGTCAATGACAAATATCGTTCCTGCGCCTTCACCGGACAGGATGTATTTGATGGTACCGTCGCCTTTGTCCACATCTGAGTGAAGCTGAAGACACAAGAAGCAAACAAGACAGTCAAGGACAGGAGGGTTAAATGCACGAGCATAAAGAACGTCTGAAATTCAGGTTTTGTGGTGAGAATAGAGACAGAAAAGGGGAATAGTGAGTGACAGGAAAAACTATAAGAAAAACAGGCAGGCTGCCTGACAGCTAGATGGGAATTGAGGCTCTAATTTCCAAACTCTTCAAACCAAAGGCCTGACAGAGTGAGACAGAAAGGCTGAGAATGTTCTGTACCAGACAAGCAAATGTCAATACAGGAAGAGATAAGGGAATACTCCTACAAAAGACGAGGATTATTCAACATTCAATTTTTCGGTCTTTACAGCCTCTTTACTATGAAATAAGCTGCATTGCGGATGTCACTTTCAGTTCTCTATGAATGCCACTGTTCTCTCCAAGTCATGGTGTTGTTGAGGAAAACCCCCAATCGCTCCACATGAATGTCAGCTTGACCCCACGCTTTTACTTGTGTCTTACTCTCAATGCTTGATGAATGGGAGGACTTCATTTAAATCTCACTGGGAGCTAGCTGTCGCCTTCTGAAGACTGCACTGTGACTGCCACTGGACTCACTGTACGCATTAAGGTAAACACCTACTGTACTTCATGGGACGGATGACGTTATAATGAAAGGCAATACAGGAGATGAACCTGTTAGATGTTGCAAAAGACTTGATGTCAGGGTCGAGGTTCACTTTCCTGCAGCAAAGTAACCAATGGAATAGTTTACAGCAAAGCACGTGTACAAAGTCCAGACCTAAATTCAAATGAGAAATTGTGACAAAACTTCTTCTTTTAGAATGTTTTTGGTGCTAGTGGCCTTTATTTGAAAGTACTGGGTGTAGAGAAGAAGGGAAAGACATGTGGCAAAGGAACGGACACTGTCACAGCTCTGTGGCAAAACGTTAAAAAAAATCAGTGTACAGATGCTCCCTACCTAATCAGACTGACTTTGAGCTAACAGAAGTCGCCTCTAGACGTAACTTGTTGAGGTACAGCCAAATGATTTGGAATTGTTATTGCCGCTAAAGGTTGTTTTACAAAGTTTCATTGCAGTGGGACTTAACACAAATGATTACCACTGTACACTGAACTTGAGTTATTCTGTCATAAAGAAATATCTGTCATCCCTGGATGTGCAAAGCTTGAAGAGCAATAGCAAAAACACTTTGTAATTCATCTTTTGCAGTTCAAAGTATTGACATGTCTGAGATTCACAAACATTTTTAAAATAAAAAAGTTTATTTAACTTTTCTTCCACTTTCCAGTAACAGTTTGTTATTGTAACACTGCAAAATATGATATTATAATGACAAGTTTTTGCAACTGAGAGCTTGGTGATTTATGTCTATTAAGATATATTGGGAGACATTGAAGTATTACGGGGGTTGTTTGTGGAAAACTTACCCTCCCCACCAACACCGGGTCAGGTCCGGTGTATTCCTCAATGACAAAGAACTGATTCCAAACCCATCCTCGTTTGGACCGGTGCAGTACCTGGCCTTCCTTCCCTGTCCTCTGTCTATGTCTGTGCAGCGATAAGTGACCTAAGACATCAAAGCGTCCAGTTAGATGAATACATATTACACAAAGAAAGGTTAGAGTTGAAAACTGACAAATGAAAATACAAATTAAAGTTACTTTATGAGGAATGTATGAACAGACACTGCAAAAACTGAAAGAAAAACAATTCTGAACTTCATAAACACTTTTTTTTTTTTTTTTCAGAGATGAAACTTAAAAGTGGGCGAGAAGCCGTAACCTCCAGAGCACAGAGGTCTGCTTTTGAATTCTGGGTCACTTGAGCAAATCCCAAACCGGAGCGGTGTGGGTGGACTGTATGAAGAACACACACTTCAATGAATTGTGTTTCAGAAGGCTCTAAGGGAGGCATTTAACCTCTGTTTGTTGCAGTGCAGCTGCTTTGTGGTTAAGCAGAGCAGGGTTGGGTTTAAACTGAACTAAATCCATGCTGCAGCGTCTGACTGCAGGGATGGGCAGCACAAACTGCAACAAGCTGGATGCTCTGAGTGAAAGGTTGAACATTTGAATCTCACAAACTACACACAAACGGAACAGAAACATTTGAATTTATGTTTTTTATAATGCTAAAGAACATCGATATAACAGGATGTGAACAGCTGGATGTTTAGGTCCCTTTATTTACTTTAACTCTGCACTAGATTCATAATACAAATTGCACTAAATACAAACAAGAGCAATTCCACCCATTCAGTCCAGTAGACTGAATCTAAAAAACAAGTTTTTATGTGAACTTGAAGTGCACCATTAAAACCAGGTTTCTGCAGATTAGATTTTTTTAAGGAAAAAAAAATCCTTTAAAAATGATCTTTTTGATCTGGTTGATCTTTGAGAACACAGGCAATTTGCTCTGGATGTGACTTAAACAGATGTAAATCTATATGGGCCGACTTTCTATGCCTGGTGGTAGGACAATCATTCAGCCATCTAACGCGTTTGTGAGTTAAAAATGTTACCTAGTTACCATATTACATTAGGTGATATGCGTTATTGGAAGACATTATAAACAAGAACTAAACACCAACTATAAAGTCTATAAAGATTAAAAAAGGGTTAGGGTATTTCCTAAAATCAATGGTATTCAGTAGATATTGTTGATTAATGATAATGTAATGATATTAAACCAACGTTATTATTAATTTAATTGTAACTCTTGTCTGCTTATACAATTTTCTGTGAATTCACAAATTTATTGCAAAAATAAAGTCTTAATCCTGAGAAATTAATCAAATTGTCAGGACATAATATCATGCAGTACACAGAGCTGCCAAGAGTTGAGACTGGTGGATTTAGAAACAGTGATATAAGTCACTTCACTATGACAAAAATGTTTCAGCAATCCATTTAAAAATTGGTGTAAATAGTATGTATTTGTAGCTTGTTTTTCAGTCCTACCTGGATGCCTGTGTCTGTGGCTCCTGTGGTCCAGCGTAGCATGTCCTTTCCTGGTTCCTAACGCAACACTGCAGAGCACTGAAACTCCCAGCAGCACCAGGAGGACCCTCAGCAGCCCGAAGCCCTGCCGCTTTGCTATCAGCACCGCCATCTTGCCTAACCAATGGGACTATGCGCTCGGCTCTCTCCGACTCTCTGCTTCCTCTCAGTGGAGCTCCGCTCCCACCGAGGCCGAACCCTGATTTGTTTTCTGAGCGAAACGTCGATCAAGAGTCTCCTTGTTCATTTGCTGGGTTGGAGCTCAAAGCTGCAGATTCTGATCACTGATGAGCAACCTCTTCTTCCAACTTGTCACTTCTGTCTTCAGAGGGCCTAAAGGAGAACAGAATGGAAAAAAACTTTGTAAGTAACACCAGGTTAATTAATATTTAACACAAAAAGCATACCTTTAGCTATATAAGCCTAGACATTATAAACAGACTGGCAATAGAGGGAAAACGGCTTTCTAAACGATTGTCGGCTTAATTAGGACAATGTGCTAATTATACAGGCAGTGTTGTCCATAAACCCATTAGCTTTAATTCAATTAGATAGAGACAGATTTGTTGTAGAGCAGACAGTTCATGTGACAGCCGGTCACCGTGTTGCTGGTTTAATTACTGCCGTTTCAAAAGCGTCTAAAGAAGCACGACAGTGAAGAGACAGTCACTTAAGTGTTACAGTGTACACTCCACAGAGCCTGTTTCCACCGATAGGAGCTTTATCGCTTCAGCTGCACACTTTGCTTGAGGTGATGATCTGGCCTCTACGGCTCCACAGTCAATGAATCAGCAAAACTGAGACTAAATTTGATCTCTACAAAACCCAACATGTCCATTAACAATCCTGAGCTGTGAAACTAAGAACCGCTTGCTCATGGAAGTAACCCTAGATGGATATCAGTCAGCGGTGCACCTTTTTCAGCTTGGCAGTTGACAGAAATCTGTGTTTTTAATGTCTTCATGGTAGGCTAAATGTTAACATGTTTATTGTCATTATTTGTTCAATTGTACATGGTCAGAATAAAAAGTTACATGAATGAAAGTGGAGAACATCTTATGAAGTCAGTCAGTTGCTATTAGCCTGTGCTATCTGGCTGATTTGCAAAGGCCTCCATTATAAAATACTTACATGGTACAAATTTGGGTAGTTAAATGAAAAAAACTAAAAGCAGTACCAAACCAGGTGTAAATGAATTGTGAAAACATTGAGAGAACACAGGCTAGCTAACGGTTAGCCGCTAAATTTAGCATCTGTCTTGGAGCTTCCTATTCCCAGGTTTTTATCAAGTCACTACTTCATGTTCATTGTCGTCATTGGGTCACTTTTACATAAGCAGTATAAAAAAATAAATGTGTAAAAGTAATTTCATGCCACAAAATCTCGCGATTAAACACCTTAAAAGTGGAGCACGTCTTATGAAGAGAGTCATTCAGCAGTTACCTGGCAGTTTGCACCAGGTGTAGAAGCTTCCACTGCTTTAAATTACTTGTGTGGCACAGGTTTGGGTAGATGAATGAAAAAAAGAAAGAGTAATGCTAAAGTTAGCCTCCGCTTTGAAAGCTAACCTCCACTTTGGAGGCTAGCTTTGCTTCCTTTTCCGTTTTTTTATTTGAGTCTTGAATTAATGTTTGTCATTATTTGTTCACTTACATGAGCAGAATAAAAAAATAAAAGTATAGAAGTAATCTCACAACGTGAAATCTCACAATAAATCACTTTGATGTTTCTTGTCAAAGTGAAGGACGTCTTATGAGGTGAGTCAGCTGCTGTTACCTGGTGTAATCTGGCTGATTTGTAGAAGCTTCTGCTGCTTTATGAATGAATTGTGAGAACATTGACAGAACAGTTAAGCGCTACAGCTCGCTTCTGTTTTGGAGCCTCCTATTCCCACCTTTTCTTTTTACTTCATTTGACCATCTCTTTCTTTAAGATTTAACACACTTGACTGGTCAACTCCACATTAGACAATTCAACAAGAAGCAGTTATATTGTTTTGCATACTAGTTTGAGGTTTATGAAACACTTATTGGTGAAAACACAAAATGTGCATTGTCAACGTTTGTTTTAGGTTTTTTTAATCGTCCTTCATTCGTGGTTGGGATGCACAGAGACACTTTGATATGGTTAATAATTGTTATTATTGTTATATGATGATATTTTACGCTGGAACAGTGCCTGCTGCTCACTGAGAAAAGTAAGAACAACTTGTGGTCACAGGAGTCTCCAGTAACACCTACAAAAGTTTCTAGAATTATTATTAGTTGCTTTAGAGTGAAAAAAAAATGCTACAGAGGTAAAAAAAAAAAAAAAACTCAATATCTATAGATCCATAATTACAAATGGAAAAAATAACATATAGGGTCAATTATGTTGTATTACTTGTTGCAATCAGTTTTCTGGTTACACACCACAGATGGTTGCCTAATTGGCAGACAGAGTGGATCAGTGGTAATCAAACAAGCAAAATAGTGCATACTTAGAGATTTACTATTTACTGAAATATTTCCTCTGATTACAGATTCTCTAGACAAATATTAGGCTTGTTGGTTGTTCTTGTTTTCCATCCCTCTGTTGTCTCTCTCTATTCTGAGATCATCTCCTTCCCACTGACTCTCTGCCCAACTCATTCTGAGGGATCTCAAGGTCAGAAGGTAAATATAGTTCTACCACAGATCCGATCAATGCCCACAACGCCTCAATCCATCTATCAAACTTCCTCTCCATCCCGACAACACCACAATGCCAAGACACTTGAACTTCTCTGCTTTGGCAAAGACTAAGAGGAAGCAGTCCACTTTGTTCAGTTGAGGACCCTGGCCTCCCATTTAGGTCCTTGTCTTGTTCCAGTGAATACAGTGTACTGTCTCATACATCCCTATTTAATTGAGATAATTTTCACCGTCCTTGGTATATTTGGCAATACAACATCACTTCAGTAATGGCGAAATTATTATAGTGGCAATGTTCGATCAAAGAAAACATCAACAGCACCATAAACCTGCAATCACTTATTACACTTATGTGACTGCATGTTTCTAACTTCAACTATGTTAATGTTAAACAGGTCCGCTACACTTTGAACTTCAGACGTGTTTGCAAGCTTAGGGTCAAGTCAACAGCTGGGCCAGTCGCACTGAATTATCACCAACCACAGCAATAAATTGTGCAAGTTAGTATTGATCTCAGCTACACTGTGTCAAAGTTTCAAACCCAGTCAGGATTAACTGAATACCAGCAAAGAGCTAAAGTAACGTTATTTACCATGGAAGTCTGACCTCAAATCTCAGAAAATTGCCACATGTTTGATCTGTTTTCTAGTTGCAAATGGAAAACAACTGGGAGTTATTAATGATGGTCCTTTTGAGCAGGCTATCTACCTTAACAGATGTTTTTTCCTCAGCATTTCATATATTTAAGCACAAACTGGGGATGTTGACATGCTGATGTTGGATAGTACTGTCTGTGTTACTGATTTAATGAGAAACAAACTGTCAGAACTGTAAGTACACTGAATATTTTTGAAATTTTTACGATATATTTTGCGTGGATGCCATATTAAATTTGACCATCTGACATCAGTTGATTTTTCTAAAAATAGCAAATTCAGAAATTTCACCCTCCAAATCAAGCAGGAAGCAGCATTATTACTCCAAAACAAAAAGCAGTAGCTGTCTTAAGGTCTTAAATTGAGATGCTCTTCTTTCTTCTCAACTCTTTGACTCACAGAATGTGAATGTGTTTGGTGTGTGTGTGTGTGTTTGGAATTTTAAGCTGATGAGAATGTTACTTTACGGATCGTTGGTTAGCATTAACCACATTGCCAGCCGGCTATGAAGTGTTGACAGTTACTCCAGTACTGACTCATCATCTGTCTCTTTATGCTCAGACGCTCTGTGCTTCTGTTTGTGGATGTAAATGTGTGTATGTGCTGCCTGTCACTCACTCATCCGGGCCTTGAAGCTAGTTCTATGAGACCGCTAATCTGACACTATCCTGGAATTGAGCGAAATAATAATTGCAAAGATGTTGGACAAACATCCCATACTGAACATTCAATGATTTAAATTCATTTAAACAAACACAAATTCAGAAGACCACTTTTAAGAAACCAGATTGAAAAGGCAAAAGATAATAAAACAGTAGATTCGGCCAAGACCTCGTCAGTAAATTTTGTGCTGCGTCAACTCTAAGACTTAATGCTGTCATTTTTAAGTCTCATTAATGTATTTAGCATAAATAGTGTTCCTCTGTAGCTTGATTTGTATTTGGAATACCTTTTTCCTTAGTTGTTAAGTTAAAATACTGACAGTAGTGAGGATAATGACAAATCAAACATGGCGTCATGTAAAAACAAATCATTAAACTTAGAGAAGCTAAGTAGTTCGTTTCTCTCAAGTGTGTGACTAATAAAAAATAATGGGACTCTGTTAATTTTCTAAAGTGAGTCAATTGCAGGATCTGCAGTTAATTAATCAAAATTGATAACCACAGATCAGCAAAATAAGATACATTTTCAATTCAAAAACATACTTTGCTGCTAATTTGTCGAATAGATAAAAATATGAGCTCAACCACAAAGATATTTGTTGTTTTTAATCTGTTATTTAGGTTCTTCAACCATCAGATTGGTACAAAGTGCTATTCTAACCATTCAACTATCAAGTGCTGAAGGAACCCCTGATCATTCATGGAACGTCTGTAGAGGTGTGGACCGCGGACGTTGACAGAGCATTGGGTGCATTTTAGCACAACTTGAACACAACAATAGTGTTCTCCGGCGTCTTATCAGGTCATTTTTTGAAGCAAAATAAACCCCCAGTGGTCCAAGAGAAGCTTTGTTACCTACTGCTGCTGTTTGCGGATGTTGTTTGTGCGTCTGATTTACGGGCATACGGGCATTTGTATGTAAAAACAAACAAAAAAAAAATGTTGAATTGTGTCAAGTCTATATTATTTCTTCACTGCAACAGCGGTTCTTGGCAATATACCTTAAGTCACTGTAAAACCTGTTTGTTGAAAACAACCACTTCGCAGAATAAAACCACATGAATATCCAAGAAAGAAAGACACCAGGTTGCTAAGCATCCAATCTGGACATACCAGTGTTTGTTATTATTCTCCTATATCTTGAAACTGCAGGTCTTTTGTCAAACAGCCGTTGTTTCTAGAAAATGGCTCTGGGTTTCCTGGCATGCTCAATGCTCGACTGAGCGGCAAAGAGTCAAGCAGAGAAGAAAAGGCCTACACAGAAACCTCCAGTGAAGATGACTCCCCAGGGCAGGCATGCCTCTTGGCCAGACGATTTCCTCCGTCTGCACACATGACTCAAG